GAATTCGTCTCATCGTTGCCTTGAACAGACTCGCGAGAGCGCTTTCCGAAACGTCAAATCCATCTCCGAATGCTTGGCAGACGAGCTAATCAACGCAGCAAAGGGCTCATCAAACTCTTACGCCATCAAGAAGAAGGACGAGTTGGAGCGCGTTGCCAAGTCTAACCGTTAAACTATCCCTCTTGGTCCCTGTTACACTGTTGCTTCTACCATGTATCTTTGTTATACAACATCCTTTCACGTCGTTCTATGTCACGTTATGGATTCCGGTCGCTCAGGACTAGGCGAAGTGAGGAGCCTAGCGAGCAAGGTGCACGTTGCAACGCGTGTCCGGCCTGCTGTCGGACAAACGACGCGTCCAACCGGGACTCGTATCTCGGACAGACCTGGGCGGGTAAGTTGGGAGTGCACAGGTCACCGACCGCTGAAGGAACATTCCGCCCCGACGTTCGCCAAGATGGTCAGAAGTCGCCGACCGAGGCGTGGAAAAACGGAGGTTGACGTCACATATAAGCACCCCCCAACAGAGCGCCCGAAAGCATCCGTTATCGCACCCCATTGCCCTTGACTTGTTCCACCCAGCCCAGCACCTCAAACCCATATCTCAACACAGTGCCGATGGTGCGCCAGACGACGTTGAAGGCTGCATACGCGTCAGCCTTACCTCTCTGGTACCCCACAGGCCACTGCAAACCAGAAAGTACAGGACATCCCGATCAGTGAAATCGGTCCTCTCCTCCCAGCTGACGACAAGGCAGAGAAAGTGAGAAACTCATCCCTTGAAGCATATCTGCAGCTCCTGATTCGCCAGTCCCCAAGATCTTTAGCTCCGTAAAGGACAACGTGCTCAAGAAGGTGGGTATATTCAGCCTCAGGTACGAGCCGGTCCTGATCGACCCATTTCCTCGTTAGATCTGGGACCTTCACCAGAAAGATGCTATTCATAACTTGAATGAAGTCTGGAAGCTCGAGAACATCGATGCATACGAGCTCATCTCCTATCGCGTTGAGGAAGTTCCGCATGGGCTCAACTACTACGGCAAGGTCCGTCGCTTGAGGAGGAGGACAAATGTCACGACAAGTTAACCACTCATCTTGTAGATTCAAATGAACAAGAAAGAAGACTGTGTGCACGTCAGAGCTTTCCGAGCACAGGAAGGAAAAGGCCCCATCAAGGTGCGATCCATTCCCAACCGACACTGGCCCTCGCACTCACCTGCTCATGCATCAGTTCCATGCAATCCAAACTCGTCCCTCTTGGGACGGTGGCGCAGTATTCACCCTCGAAGAACCACTGCGCCCCTTCGAGTACTAAGCCATCAATATTGCAAATGTAACATGTATATCAGCCCGTCTCGTGTAGTTCAACAATTCAATGTATTATAGTTTCGGTGGCTTCCATTACTCGGCGAGGGTGTCGGGGTATTCTTGAGTGATGATGGATACGAACTTTTCCGCATAGTCCTTGTGGATATGGACGCAAACATTCGCATCGCTGACACCGTTCGACGAAGTTGAGCCGTCGGGACGTGGGTTCGCACAGAAAATTCTGAAATACATGTCTATGAGATCAATTCATCAGTGTCGAGAGGACTTGGATGCGCACCTGAAATAGTTCATCGTTGACCACGACGTGAAGAACCTTGCTCTACCGGGGAAACCGAAATGAGCATCATTCCAATCCGTCCTATAAGGGTACATTATCGTTAGCCAACTTGTCGTCATTTCTGCAGTGCAAAAGAACCAGGTTCTGACCGGTAGTTACTATTGATCGAAACCTCTCCGTCCTCAGGTCCAAAGAACTGGAACCTGCCCTCCGGCCCAGCATTCGCGGCTTTGCCAAGCAGGTAGCTCGCCCAAGACATCCACTTTTCCAGGAACTTATGATCGCGAGCTTGGTTGACGGTTGTTCGTATAAACCGCGCGAGGGCAGAAACAGACGAGGCGGAGGAAGGAGGCAGGGGATCTGAATACATGACCATGATGATATTTCCTTGCGCCGAGGGTGCGTTGAAGGTTGTAACTGTGGAAGGAATGGTGCTCGATCCACGGTACTAGACAGACATTCGAGGTAATATCAGTATAGGATTGAAATGATGACAAAAAGACTTGGGGCACACATTGAGGATTAAAAGGACCGTATGCATTGGCTTCTCTTGGCACTGATGGAGAACCTTGATCAAGTAAGCCGCAAATGCGTCGCTCAAAGTAATTTTCACTCCTCCACTAGCAGATGGGTCCTCTTCCTTTGCAACTTTGAAGATCTTTTCCAAGCTTTCGCCACTGACCCTCAGCTGAACTTGGTTAGTTATAGCATCCTGCGCTCCGTATCTCTGCCACAGCGGAGTGAGGTCGTAGTCTTTAGCAAGATGCGGCATGCGTGGTAAGAAGTTCTCCGTGAGGTCAGAAGCTTCTGGTCCGCGAGAGAAGGGAGAGCGGAAGAAGTGCCGATAGAAGGAGGGGGCAAGAGGGAGAGCCGATTCAGGTGCATCGAGGTCTACGTAGTATGCTGAGAGACACCGAGTAAAGTCCCACATAGAATAGGCATCGCCTGATGACCAGAGCGTCTGTAAGTAGGGTCTATCCGTCTCAGCTTGAATGAGCTTACCGCAGGTGTGGCACCAACTGATTCCGATGGCGGTTCCATTCTCCCAAATAGTCAGCTTGAAACCCAAAAGAGGATCCGTAGCATCTCCGGTAACCAAAACCTTACTGCAGTCTTCGGAATTGAAGAAAGGCTGAGTGAGACCACCTGGTTGAATTGTGTATTCGTTAGGGAAAGGGTAAGACTCGGAAAGGTCGGAGGGGTTGGGAACGATCCACGACACAAGGACCGGGATAGGAGAATTCGTCAGGTCAATCTAGAATGTGATGTGGAGCATCAATGATCAGGACAACATTTGCCAGAAGACGATGCATACCTTCCAATCGTCGCCCTCTCGACGCAACCGCCCCGCCGTGTGAGGATACCTCGCCAATGCCTTCGACAGCGCAGCCTTAAACCGTTCGATGTCAATCTTGCTTGGGATAACATGTATATTATACACCTGAGGTGTAAACGCGTCAGCAGCCGGAAAAGAGCCTCGTCAAAAGGCAGGCGCCTGACGTAGTTCCTGAAAAGGTCATGTCCTGGAAGCTTCATCGCGGTCTCGCCTGCCAATGCCGTTGGTTCACCGACAGGGACAAGAAAGCGGGCGGTAGAATCAGCTGCCATTGCGCGCTGAGTGGGGAATGGAGCGATGAGGGGGTAGTAGCAAGATCGGTCACGGAGTATTTGTAAACAGTTGGAGGATGCACTGCGAGTCACCGGCTACGCCAGGCTCTCGGTGACACAACGGCTCCGGTACTCCTCTGTAGAGAGTGTGGCCGGTATACATGTCGTGAGAACATCATGGAAGATCCCCAATCGCGCTGCTAAACGAATCGGACGCGTTGATATAGGTTCAGCTGGGGCAATATCCCGATATGGACTAACTACCCGTAGGGCATAAATCATTCAGTGGCAGACAATCTACATGAGACCCGGCGATTAAGAATGTGTCCAGTTAGGCTTTCGCTTCTCAGTAAATGCAGTCATCCCTGGGGTCGTGGTAAGCGAGGTGAGCATTTACGAAAAGGTGTGAGTTGCACCCACCTTCTTGTTTGTCTTTTGTAGAGAATAGACCGAAGAATAGTCGGCGCTCAAAGCGGACACCTTCGGTCAAGGGGAGCTCGTACGCTGGAGAGTCAGTCGTTCCGAATAGTTAGAAACTCCCTAGGCAACGCGCCGAGACTACAGTGACAACTCACCCGCGTTGATCATTTCTTTAGTAGCCTGAACGGCAATCTGACCCTTGCTTGCAATGTTCTGAGCGAGGTCAACAGCTTCCTTGACCACTTGACCTTCTCCTTCTCCCACGATGCGGTTGACAAGACCCCACTGTTCAGCCTCCTTTGCGCTGAAGTTCCTTCCGCTCAACATCAACTCCATAGCACGATACTTGCCAACGATATGAGTCAGCCGTTGGGTGCCCCCGCCACCGGGAGATACTCCAAGGTTGATTTCGGGCTGACCAAATACGGCAGTCGGCGATGCCAGGATCATGTCGCACATCATCGCTAGCTCGCAACCTCCGCCAAGCTAGACAGAGAAAAGTGGAGTTAGTCCATATAAGGGCAGAAAGCGCTAGATCCGAGACACACCGCGTATCCGCTGACAGCCGCGATGACGGGCTTCCGGATTTTTGTAATGACAGACCATTCTGCGAAAAGGTCGCCGTTGTACGCTCCAGCAACTGCCCCAAAGACTGATATTCAGTCTGAAAGAGTGTGAAAAAAGTTATATTCAAGACTTACAGTCCTTCTCCTTGAGTTCCTTGATGTCTGCGCCGGCTACAGGGTTGGACGGAACGCCGTCACCTCGAGTTGAAACGACAGAGGACGCCAAACGGCTCACCAGCGAACGCCTTTTCGGACCCAGTAATCACAATAGCCCCGATCTCCTTCTCGGCATCCGCTTCTAACAGTGCCGCATTCAAATCTCTGAAGAGCGGGGTGCTGAGTGCATTGAGAGCTTTTGGCCGATTCAGTGTCAAAAGTGCGACGGATGGGACCGGCCGTGATGCAATGATATGTTGATACTCCTTGGTGGAGAAGAGTCTTCTAGACGCCTTGGTGAATGCGTACGCGGTTCGTGGTCTGAAGAGGATTGAGCTCATGGTAGCAAACGGTTGTTGGGATCGGAAGAAGTGAGAATGAAAGCATGTGACACGGGTCTCTTACGTTGATCTAAGCAGCGTTGCTTCGCACGACCGCAACCACCACAGCAGGGTCACGATTCCTTTCCCTCCGAATGTGCACTGTACGCTCAAAAACATCTTGTCCGGAGCTCATTTAGCCGGATACCCGAGTGCCAAAAGGGAAAGCATCACGCAAAGAGCCGCGGGTGAAGCTTTTCATGATCGATGGTTCCATGATAAACTCGGAGCCGCCCCCTAAGCGATGCAAAAGAGTTAACCAACTACCCACCGTGGGGCTTGAACCCACGACCTTCAGCTGTTTGGAGGTCCAACCTGCCGGAAACTGACGATCTACCACTGATCTAGGTGGGCCACCTAGAAGCTAATTTGTCGCACAACCTTATTACAGGAAACTCATCCACTCCCTCCTCCCAACAAAACACCGAAAGGTGGACGATATGTCCAGCAAATAAAATCTAGATAATTGGTAATACAGATTACACCATAAATACATGAAAAGGGGCGAATGAGGGCACAAAAACAAGAACACGTCCTATCTGCCCTTCTCGACGTCGGATGAATCCCGCGATGAATCTGACGGCCGTAACCGAGGGGGTGGCGGCTGATCATGTATCTGTGAGCCATCAAATGATAGTACTCGCACCGTCCTTGGTGCAGCGCTTTTAGGTTGTATCCAGGGGCCGTCGGAGGGCTCTTCGGTCCTCACTACCACATCTACCCGAGGTTTCGCGTCGTGCATTTCGATTTCCTCCGTGTCTGAGTAATCCGTCATTTCACCTTTGAATGGTGCCGAAACGACAACTGTCGGCCGATGGACGGTGTGATGCGCGAGGTCTCGTTCAATATCCCATGCGTCGGTTCCATAGGGAATCCGTCCTGGTATCGACCGACCGGCTTGCATTGATGTGAACGTATTTCCTTGACCGGACAAGTGAGTTCTTGAAGTTAGGTGCCTCTTTCTCAAGTGCCAAAACTCCAGGACGTCTCTTTGGGAGCCAAAGACCACAAAAACTGCAATGGACACTGAAAGAGCGGGTTAGCGTGAGCAATTTTCTCCTACCGCTTCAGGAATGGTATTGCTCACTTCCGGCCACAAGAAGGTCTGGGGCAGCTTGGGACCAGGCAGAAACTGTCGCAATGATAGCCAAGCTGGAACAGGGAGGTATATCAGTTTAGTAAAAGGGGCGTCAGGTGGTGAGTGCACTTACACTAGAGCGACAACGATGAGCATGCTGAAGGTGGAAATTCGAATAAACAGAGGCATGTCGACATGTCCTACTTCTTGTTGACCAAACCTCTTCGACCGACGATATCGTCCGTACACAATGAGAAGAGTCCAAACTGAAGAGAGTTCATTGGTACAGGTGGGAGTGGGATGCGAGTGATTTTACTCACATTGGAATACACAAGAGATGAGCAGGAAAACGGCTGCTGCAACGCCGGATATAATAGAAGGTGTTTGATTGTCGCTCGCGCAATACTGGGGAAATCGTCGAACGTTGTCTCCAGCCAGAATGCCAGAAGCCAGAGCTACGCCAATCCACACTAGCATTGGAATTGCAACGAACTACGCGTTTCGATGTCAGGGTCAGACTAGCGGGCGGGGGTGAAAACCTAAGCACGCACCACGGCCGAGACCCATCCAGAGGCTTGCATGAGCAGAGACTTGGACTTGTTGACGGAAAACGTCAGGTACCATACACGTGCAACTACAGTCATTGCTGCTGCTGATAAGGCTGGAGGGGCACCATATACAACAGCGGACTGGAACTTGCAGAGACGAGGTTCGATTTTTTGCGAGTCGATGTTACCGGTAAACACACTGTGATCCTCTTCAGCGACATCCATGCGCATAAAGGATGGCCATGGAAACTCACAAGAGACATGATACAACGGATTGGATGACCCACAGGATGAGATTGTTGGGGATGGTGACATGCCGCGAAGGCCCACTTGGGAGGGCGAATGTGACAGTCAGGATTGTAAGCTACGCATAGCAGACGGATACGTCCAAGGAAAGTGATGGAGATAAGCCTGTCAGTTCTAAGGCAAACAAGCGGAGGAAAGAAACAGACGTACCAGGGCAAGTCCTGTCAATTGCAGCACATAATACACGATCGTCGTTGGCGCAAGCATACTGAGGGTGCTAGTTGTGCGCACACCAGCCTATGCCTGGCCGCCAGGTTTCCCTGTTATATTACACCGGGCACCTGATTGGCGCGAATGGCCGTCGACAAAAGGGGTTTGACGTCGCCTCGAAGCCCTTGGACTTCAACCAGTGAAGGGGTTGGAACTTGGGGGAATTGGGCGGAAAGGGTAGTCAAGGGGGATCGTTCCACCCGATGCATATAGCCGCGCTCGTGCCGACGTCAGAAGTCCATCGGGGGATGAGCTGCAAAATATTTGAATGGCTTCGAGAGCAGGGTTACGCATGAGACTCTGTCGCGGGGGGCAGTCTCGGGGAAAGACCAAGGAGGTGGGAAATTCCCGCTAAACCTGGCCTCACGCTTAAATCGTCTGTCTGGTGTCCAATGACAGCGAGCAACACCCCTCACCCCCTCGGTTGGCAATCAACACGGCCTCGCCATCGTTTCCCCGACAACTTGTCATCGGCTTCTGCGTCTCAAGACACACTTTTATTCGGCAGACCCCCATAGCATCTCGGCCGGCTCAAGGATTTTCGCCCGTTCTTTGGGACCAAGGACTCTGCTCGATCTAGAAGACCCGCTCCCTAGGCCGCTAGCGTCTTCACCTTTGTAGGCAACCATAGATATGTGACGGAGAGGGGATAATGATATTACAGATACATTGAACGAAGATGAATGGACGGCCTCTGTTGCCTTCGACAAGACCCTCGATGCACGTTGCACCGAGACATGTCGAGTTTATTCCTTTCTATACGGTTTTACCCGCATAGGTAACTGTGAACCCTTCGTTCGCTGGCCGGCGACGTAGGGTCTGGTCAGAACGCTATACGGTTATGAGTGAGTGAAAATCGTGGCAGGAGCTTCAGAGAACGAGAACGAACAGGTTGATCTTCCAGAACTTGACATCGGGCGGAGCTTCGAAAGTAAAGGCCGCCAGAAGGACGAACAAGAAGCTCTTCATTCTAGGAAAGCCATCAACCCTTATTGAGCGCTCACATTCGGGGCAAACCGGCGGCCAAGAGGGACTCACTCGATGATGGAAAACTTCTGGCCGATACATGCCTAATTTGACAAAGTAAGCAACAACCGTCAGTCTTCGTCCCGACCACTCACTCTGGGACCTGACGAAAATGTCAAGATATTCTGCCATAGCCCAGGCTGCTCCTTGACGAGTTCTGGGAGATTGTCCCATCGTTCGGGTCTACAAATGGCGGCCGAAGAAGCAACATCCACCAAGGTAAGCTTCCACACTCTTGTAACCCTGAGCGGGAAGGGGGGACTTACTTGAACTCCCAGGCATCCTCTCCCCACACAGTCTTATCCAAATTGAATCCTTCCATCGGAATATGCACAAACTCACCCTTGCCAATCTTGACCCCGTGAGCCTCTGTTCCGTCTCCGAGTTTCACGGGATACTTGGTAGGTATCACATCGTCATGCAGGGCGACCCGGATGGACGAGTGGACAGGAGGAATGAGACGCAGAGATTCTTTGGCAACTTTGTCGAGGAAGGGGAGGTTGTCGATAACGTTGAAGTCTAATAGATAATCTGGTTCTTCGTCCCCTTCGGGAGGGGTGTACACAGCGAGTATTTCTTCGCGCAGCTGGGTTTGGTACTGAGGCTTTTCGCAGAGCAGGAGGAAGGTCCAAGCAAGTGCCAGTGAGGTGGTATCACTTCCAGCGAAAAAGAAAGTGTTGATTTGATCCATGATATCCTCGTCAGTAATCCGCTGTTCAGGGTTCGTATTGCTTAGATTCGATTTGACTGCAAAATAGCGGCATAAGCAAAACGAGTATTGGCCACAGTGGGAACACACACTCAGGAGGCTCAACATAGACTTGCTATTCCTCTCATCAGCTTTGCCTTCCAAGATTCGTCGCTTCGTCTCCTGTACGAGTTGGTTTCCGACACCATAGATAATCTTGTGGCTCTTTTTTACCACCCGGGTGGCCTCAGTAGGCTACGGAAGCGTATCCTTAGCACGCACGATACATTGCTGACATAAAGTCGCGCAACTCACCCAAACTGTGTCGAGCCAAGGCCACCAAATTCCCATAAGTGCACGCAGATTTTGCCCTTGGTTGATAGAGAGGTCAAACATTTCCTTGTAGGCCAAGTAGACATCGTTATCCTCGTTTTCGATAGCGTTGAAGACATAATCGAAGCCCGTGAGTCCGATGACATCGAAGGTAGCCCGACTTATCCAGTGGACCAAGTCAATAGTCTCCGCCGGCTCGGGCCCAGTGGTGAGACCTAGCCATCGGCGGCGCAACTTAAAAAATCAAAAAAAGCTTTCAGCGGAGGTGTCACCAGGTAGCTCAAAGAGGAGAAAATGCGCACTTGATGCGCCTTCTCGAGGAAGATCGGGGAGTACGCTTTCATGTTGGTAAGCGAGAATGCTGGGTTCATAACCTTCCGCTACATCATAATAACAACGCTGGTGAGCAGTAGCGTTGACGTTTTGGTCCTCGTTACTAACTTGTCTCTTGTGGTGAAGTCCTGAATGCAACACCAGCATCAGGCTATGACCCCTTCGCCCCACAACAGACAGGAAACGCACCTTCAGATGACAACAGCCCATTTCCAATCAAGTTGCTGACTAGCCTTCGAGACTGCCGTGGCTTCTCGTATATTTGGTTATTGTTAAGGATATAATTCATCGCTCTTGGGTCGAGTGTCAGGATGCGCTGGTCGAACTATGGGAGCCCAAGCCATGTTAGCACCTTTGAGCCTTGATTTACCTCAAGCTAAATGTACTCACATATCCAAAGCCAAAGACTCGGAAGGTCTTCCCGAAGGTCTTGACGTATTGATCGTGCGCTTTCGGGGAAAGGCTCGGGCTAAGGAACACGCACCGCTGTCAGCGCTCTCCTTCGATCTGCAGGATGAAACACTCACTTCATTACCGCCTCCAGGTTGGACATAAACGGCCCATTTCCTCTGGGACGTGGACCCGGAAGGTTCCTAAGTGGTGACCGCCAAGGATCTATCACCAGGAGCCTCAACACGGGCCAAACGACGAAATAAAGGCCTCCAGCTACGAGAGCTGTCTTTATCGCGGTGTCGGTCAATGGATCCTCGAACATGCCGGGCTGCACGGAAGGAAAATGGTAGAGATGAGGTGGCAGAAGGTGATGGGACGGGACGATGGGCCAAAGCGGCTATATGGCGAGCTTTGACCAGTGGAAGCGTCGCCTTTGTAC